GCTTTGGACCACTTCTTGCAAGGAATACATACAGCATCTCATTTAATCTCTGTTCTGGAACATGAGGCCTAGAGTTTCCTTCCTCTCCTCTTTGGCCAATAGGATATGGTAAAAGTGGCCTTCTGGGCCTTTCAAGCCCAATCCTTCGTAGGCTTTGAGCTTCCACTTTCTCCCAGTTAGAGCCAGGCCACAGGAAGCCAGCCTAGACCTGTGAATGATAAAGGCCGTGGTTCGGGGGGCCCTGGAGGATGGAGGTCAGCTTTGACTTTCCAGCTGGGTTGATCCCAAAGCTAAACACAGACCAGGAGCAGCCCCAGCCAACACCAAGTGGAGTGTTAGATCCGCTCCACTGAAAAAGTTGTGTTGCTTCGAGCATCATATTTTGGGACGGTCTGTTACACAGCAATAACAGAAATGCCCCGGGCTTCTCTGGGCCCATGGGGCTTTGCTGACCTCAGACACCCAGAGAAACAGACACACATCCCTCAAAAAGCCTTGTCAGGTGGCTCCCACCCTGACGATGTGCACTCAGGTCTCCAACGAGGTGTCCCCAGTGATGTTCCAGAGAGGCCAGCGAGGGTGGGGAGGATGGCAGTTGAGGGAGGACTTTGAGGGTGGGAAGGGGGGCTGGTTGCCTTGCCCTCAAGACTAAATTATAAAAAACACAGTTTGCCTCTTAATAGGACTGGCTGAAGCTCTAAAAAAAATCTGCTTAATTCTGGAGTGGAAAGAGAAAAATCCAGAGATATTTAGATAATCCAGAATTTTAGAGACGCCATTCCCAGGAATAGGATGCATGTAGCATCTTGTTTTGAGGGGCCCTTCTGCCACAGATGAGTCACTTCTGGGAGAAAACCCGGATGGCTGCCCTGTCCGTCCCCTCCATGGCTGTGAGGGAACGGGAGCTGCGATGGAGCCTGGAAGTCCACGGCGCTCAGGGGGACAGGCTGTGGGCGCAAGCGGAACAACCTGAGCACAGGGTGGCACGTGGCGTCCCAGGCGGCTGTCAACGGTGCAGCTGCATCAGTGGTCTGTCGAGACAAATTTAGTGGCTTGTGATTAGGAATTCTGTGCGGAATTGTTGGTGAAAGGGGTCGATGGTCCTCAGCCTACCAGCAATGCGCAAGACTAGCAGAACGAGTCTCAGACAGTGAGAGAGGAAAAGGGCGCCCACGTCTACACCCAGTTGCATCATCACCCTCGTCAAGCGCAACAGGCACGTGTTTTCAAAACTGCCCGCTTTCAATAAGTACAGAAACTTCTAGGAAAACAAAAACAAAATAAAACTGCCTGATCAATCAATAGCGTAGAAATGGAAAAGCCATGATCTGAAATGAATGAGATTGAATTAATGTAAATTTAGAGCTAGAGCCAGTACTGCGGGACTCCGGTTACAGAATGAAGGTGCACGATCCAAGCTGGAAGGAGCCCGAGCATGAGGCGGCCAGAGCGGCCTGGCTCTCCTGCCTTGCTTGGCTAATTAAAATAAGGGCCAGCACGTTGCTGCGGCGATCGAACACCCGCCCCGGCGCTGTCCGCGCCCGGTCCCTGGAGCCTGTGAGTGTGTCCCGCAGACGGTGGAGGAGGACGCCAGTCAGCGGGCCTCAAAACGGAGAGCGGTCCCTGGCCACCTGGATCCCGAGACCCTCGCCCGCGGGCGGGCACGGGAGGGCTGCCCTCCTGCTGCTGCCCTCGGCAGAGGACCGCGGCTGCCCCGGCGGCCAGGAGGCGGAAGGCGGGATCCTCCCTGCCCGCCCCACCGCGCTGCAGCGACAGCCGCCCCGGGCTTCTGAGCACCCGCGGCCAGACGTGTGCTGCTCAAAGCCACTGCATTATGGTTATTTGTCATAGCAGCCACAGAAAACTAACACAGTAGAAAAATTAGAATAGGTACAGGTATTTTATATGCATATAAACAAAAATAAAATTTATGTACATATGAAATGCATGTACCTATTTTATATATGTGTGTGTATGTCTGTGTATGTGTGTATGTGTATGTGTGTATGTGTGTGGGGTGTGTGTGTACGTGTGTACGTGTGTATGTGTGTGTATGTGTATGTATGTGTGTATGTGTATGTGTGTATATGTGTATGTGTGTATGTGTATGTGTGTATGTGTGTGTATGTGTTTGTGTGTATATGTGTATGTGTGTATGTGTATGTGTGTTTGTGTGTATGTGTATGTGTGTGTATGTGTGTTTCTGTGTGTATGTGTATGTGTTTTTCTGTGTGTATGTGTATGTGTGTATGTGTGTGTATGTGTATGTGTGTATGTGTATGTGTGTGTATGTGTATGTGTGTATATGTGTGTGGGGTGTGTGTATGTGTGTGTATGTGTATGTGTGTGTATATATGTGTGTGTGAGGTGTGTGTGTATGTGTGTGTATGTGTGTATATGTGTGTATGTGTGTGGGGTGTGTGTGTATGTGTGTATGTGCGTGTATGTGTGTATGTGTGTATGTGTGTGTGGGGGTGTGTATGTGTGTGTATGTGTGTATGTGTGTTCGGTGTGTGTGTATGTGTGTATGTGTGTGTGGTGTGTGTGTATGTACGTGTATGTGTGTGTGTATGTGTGTGTCGGGGGGTGTGTGTATGTGTATGTGTGTATGTGTGTATGTGTATGTGTGTGTGGGGTGTGTGTGTATGTGTATGTGTGTATGTGTGTGTGGGGTGTGTGTGTATGTGTGTGTGTATGTGGTGTGTGTGTGGGGTATGTGTGTATGTGTGTGTATGTGGTGTGTGTGGGGTATGTGCGTGTGTATGTGTGTGTATGTGTGTGTATGTGTGTGTATGTGGTGTGTGTGGGGTATGTGCGTGTGTATGTGTGTGTGTGATGTGTGTGTGGGGTGTGTGTGTGTGTGTATGTGGTGTGTGTGTGGGGTGTGTGTGTGTATGTGTCTGTGTGTATGTGTGTGTACGTGGTGTGTGTGGGGTGTGTGTGTGTGTATGTGTGTGTATGTGGTGTGTGTGGGGTGTGTGGGGGGGTATGTGCGTGTATATGTG